GAGATATAGAAATTATAATATTTTTTGGCTTTCAATAAACCCTCCTTCATAAGACATCAATTCCTGGACATTCTTCTTTCAAATGCATTTTTAGCAAATCATTTCCCTTGAAAAGGGAAAATGCCTGTTAGTACTTACTATTTATACCCCTACTGGCCTATCGACCACCTTGAACACAGGTGACTTTAGACAGTTTTGTATTCTATACAGTATAGTTTACCTGGGTAATTCTCCTCTGAGGCCATAATTAAAACATAGGATTCCCTCTCACTTCCCTTTGGGTAACGTTTCTTCCATGAAACTAACAGTGCTTCAAACTTCACTTCCTAGAGAAACTATGTCTCAGTAGAAAGAATTGTCAGACCTATATTTGAATACCATTTCTGCCACCTGATACCTGTATGATGCTGAGCAAGTTACTTAACTTCCCTAAGACTCAGTTCTCACATCAATGAAACAGGAATTCCACCACCTACTCACTAGGAGTATTGTAAAGAATAGAAATACACAGGAAATCTTCACTTTACAGAGTTCTAATATGCACAAATTCCAGTTACCACAGTTTAGTTAAATAATTCCAATCCCCCACAACACAATTCAAATTTCAGTTACCACAGTACATTAACTGTAAGTGACTGAATACAGTGCTCACTTCACTACTAGGTGTTTAGCCCACAAATCACTATGTAAATAATAGAAGCACATCACAATCAGTGCCTAACTGATTTGAAAAGTCACTTCTTTCAAAGTCTGTTGCTGGATTTGACAAAATAAACTGCAAGGGAACAAAAAGTAAGCTGTTGGTGGACCCCTCATCCGTAACGATAAAAGCCAGGAGGCAATGAATAATATATATAAAGTGCTGAGAGAAAAATAACTCTCTTTCTAAACTTGTTTTGGTTTTTTTTTCTTAGTGTTTATTTATTCCTGAAAGAGACAGGGCACAAGCAGGGGATGAGCAGAGAAACAGAGGGAGACAGAACCTGAAACAGGCTCCAGGCTCCGAGCTGTCAGCACAGAGCCCAACGCGGGGCTCGAACTCACAAGCCGTAAGATCATGACCTGAGCCAAAGTCAGTCACTTAACCAATGGAGCCACCTAGGCAGCCCAACTGCCTAAACTTCTAACAATGGATAAGACATCAAGGCAAAAACTGTTGGTGATTGTTCACTGCGCATCTGTTAATCAGTTCATATACAGATAGCAAAGCATGTAGCTGAGTTGCTGCCTTGTCTCTGGTGATGAATGTAGATGATATTTTACAAAAATGAATAATCGAAAGAGGGAAATGGCCAACAGTGATGAAAGTGTAGCACAGACACAAAAAGTGATAATGTTGGAAGTGAAATTCCAATCAAACATAAACGGAGGTACTGAAGAAAACAGCTGACCTGGGCACTGTTGACAGCTGCCATTCCAGGGACTCTAGATATGCAGCCAGAAGAACATAATGAAGGCAACTTATCAACATAAATGAATAAAGTGGTTGTGAGAAAAGGATGAAGATGGACCAGGAGAAGTGAGGCTTAGCAAAAACGCTCTGCATTTAAAAGAAGTTTCAGGGTACCTGGGTGGCTCAGTCGTTGAGCTTCTGACTTTGGCTCAGGTCATGATCTCACGGTTTGTTTGTGAGTTTGAGCCCCACGTCGGGCTCTGTGCTGACAGCTTGGAGCCTGGAGCCTGCTTTGGATTCTGTGCCTCCCTCTCTGTCTGCCCCTCCTCCTCTCATGAGCGTGCTCTCTCTTACCCTCTCAAAAACTAAACATTAAAAAAAATTTTTAAAGAACTCTCAGAGATATTTCACAATACTGAAAGTGAAAAGAGTAAAATGTTGGAAGCGGATCCAAACTTAGAAGGGAGTAGGACAATTCATCAAGACAGAAAAATTATTCATTCCATAAGTTATACGACAAGAAGTCTAGCACAGTTCAAACTACTCTGGATAAGGTCTTTTACAAAGAAATAATACATTTATTATAATAATCATATTAATCATAATTCTAATGAGTTAATTATATTATTAATAATATCATTCTCAACGTTTTTCATGTTTTAAATTATAATATACTAAATATTAGTTTTACTATTTTTTCATTTTTCTATATATCCATAAACAACAATAAGAGAGTTTATAGGGTTTGACAAAAAATTTCAAAGGTCACAAAACAATCATAACTTTTCCCATCGATTATTAAGACTACTTTGCCAGGTTTTAACTTGTAAGGCCCTCTGTGCTGTCCCATACCACCATAAAGAGTGAGGACTGCCTGTACCTATAACTTCTGGCACATCAAGGAGCATATTATTTCACAACTGAAGAGAAAACCTCAACCTTTATGATCTGCTCCAACAAAAAGGAATCTGGAAAAAAAAGGAATTTGAAATGATCTTGGGTGATGTTAAGAAGACAGGTTTTCAGGTATTTCAGTGACTAACAACTGCTGTGGTCTCTGAGCACGCAATTCCCCAAACTCTTTTTATTACTCAAAATATACGCAGCTTAGTGCTGAAAGACAGGATTCTTGAGTAATTATTCAATTTGTCCTTTGTGACAGTATTCTGTTTCACCTGTCCATATTCCTTGCATGCTGGGACAAAGCAACAAGTGTGTGACAGTATAATGGTATAGTAGCTTTAGAATCAGACCTCAACTCGAACACCATCTCTCCACCATTTTTTGCCACCTTAGGCAAAGGCTGAAAGAGAGAAGAGGAAGTGCTTAGCAAAGTGTGGCACAGAGTAAGCACTTAGATATGGCTATGACAATAGCCTTATTATCTTTAAACGATATTATCTTTAATATTCCCATCATTGATGTACATACCACGATAATGATATAATTGTATTTGTTTTAAACATATCATTATTAACGAGCATATTCCTCAAAGATCAAATTCTCTTACTCCAAAAAAAAACGATAGATACTTTCTGCATCCTGGATACTAAGACTTGACCTCAACTTCCTCCAAATAATTTTCTCCCAGGGTACATGTGCAAAGGGCAGCCAATATTCACTTACTCCCTTCTTGCAACCCCTGATTCTTATGTCAAAACTCGCCTGGCAGTCTGCTCAGTTTCCTCCTCTGAGGACATTAAGACCAAAAGCCATTTCATTTCCCATTTCTCACAGCTATCTGGCAGAACGTATCTTGCACCCTCAGAGCTCACATGACTTAACTGTCAGTTTTCTCTTGATTCTAATCCTTGGTTCTAAACCAAGAGCCATTATCACCTATAGCCACCCATAAATATGCAAAGGACCTAACGGTCACCTAAAGCCAACCCCTTTTCTTTACTAAATAATTCCTTATAAAATAACTCATGTGAGTTAGTTCAGTAGTATCTGTTTCAATGCTTTGAGTGACCTCCACCACCAGTCAAGCCATTCCATGATTATTACCTTTAGGTAAAAGTTTCCTTATGCTGAAGCAAAATCTCTCCCCTTGCCGGTAGGCTCCATCCAGATACTCTGATTCCACATTCTAGAGAAATCTGGAAGTTTAACTGCTCTACATGACAGCCCGTCTGATGTTTGAAGACTATGGCAATGTCTTCATGTCGCTCTTCCATGTTACACACTCCCAGTTCAGAAAGCATGATTTTACGTCCCTTTCTCTCACGGACCTTCTCTGGACCAGGTGTGGGCTTGCCAACACGATCTAAAAACAAACTGGCAAAGCGCTTCCTTACCATCATTTGGGCTGCCACCTAATTATACTACGAATGATCCCTCTGTCCATATTCTTCCATTATTATATAAAAACTACTACCGTAAACTAGTAGTTCAGGAAATGTGACTCTCAGCCTAAATCATGGTGTAAAGGGAATGATTTAAAGTCCTGAACACTAAATAGTTCAGTTTTCTTTTTTCTTTTTTGTATTTAGTCAACTACTGTGAGGAGAATAAAGGGGGATTAGCTGGCATGAAACTCCTGCCTCTTCCCTACAAAGCCAAACAAACGTCTGGGGAAAGGCCCCAACAATGGGAAGCTTAGCTAAGAAGAGTCGCTTCCTGTCCCCAGAAAGTGGGTCCAATTAAACGAAGGCAGCAGTAGCCAAAACCGTATTCTCTGCACTTTGCCGAAACAGGTAGGCACCAGAAGGATCAAACGTCGTGCTCTTAAAACTTCACGAAAGTAACGTGCATAGAAAAAGTGGCAGATTTTTCCGGTGTTCTTCCCAACCTAGTGGAGGAAGAGCTGGGGACACACACACACACAAACACACACACACACACACGCTAGGGAGCAACTGGTGCCGGTCAGGGCAAGCAGCTGGAGAAGAATTTTCCCCAAGTCCCCAGAAGGTACTATCAGTGGAAGTAGTGTCCTCAGATGAACCCTAACCCTGAGGTAGTCCAACAGGAGGCAGGCAGAGCGGCACAGGGACTTGGTCCCCTGCGCTCCTGAGCCCGACCCGACACCTTCCCTAGAGGTGACCAAAGAGGTCCGATGGGAACAGGGAAAGAGGAAGGAAAAGACCCGGGAGTTTTCACGTCTGGGGTAAGACTAAGGACCTGTTCCCTTCTCCTGTGCCCTTAGGCCAAAGGTGGTGGCAGCAACAGCAGGAGCAGGTGTCCCAGGCCCTCATTCTAAAGAGCAGAATCCTCCACCTCCCAACCCCCTCTAGGGCCGCCCCAGCCTGCCCCACTCCGCGCGTCATAAAGGAATCCCCATCCCCAGTCCTGCCCCTCAGGCCTCCCCTCCGGTCCAGCGGGGGGCTCCCCACTTCTCTCCCGAACCCCAAACTCAACCCTCCCCAAGCCGTCCGGACCCCGGCACGCCTCACCCGACACCCTGGATTCCCCCCTCCGCTCCCCTCCTCGGCAGAGCTCCCATTCCTGCCCCCAGGCCGGGGCTCCCCCACCCCACTTGGCCGGCCAGGCCTGGTGCCTCCCCCGGCGGCCAGGTCCGCCCTCCGCCTTCCTCACGCCGCGTCTCCCCTCGGACCGGCGCCCTCCCTCCCTGCCTCCCGCTTCAGGCCCGGGCGCCCGCACTCACAGAACTCGGCGATGAACCAGGTCACCGCGTAGTTCTCCTCGCACCAGTCCAGCGTGGACGTCGTGGGGCCCCAGTAGCCCTCGCGGTCCGCGGCCGGAGCCATCGCGCACGCAGCCGCCGCCCAGGCGCTCCGCTGGCTGCGCTCGGCTCGGCAAGCTCCCAGGCCGGCTCGGGCCCTGCTCTCGCGCCCACCGCACGCTCCGCCCACCCGCTCTCCCTTAGGGGAGGGGCCGACGCCGTCAGCGGCTGTGCCCGGCGGGGAGACCACGCCCACCGGCGCCTCCAGGCCGCCCGCGCCTTGCCGGCGCCCCGCCCACCTCGGGGCGGCAGGGGTTGCCCTCGGGCCCTCTTTTTCCCAGTGAAGCGCTGTGATCAGGTCTCGGGGACGAAGGTTACCCAGGCTGCCTGTCCCGCCCAGACACATCCCTGGCTGTAGGCTTGGGGTTCCTGATATACCTGAGGCTGTTTTGTGTCTGGACGTGTTAGAGCCTGTGTGTGTGTGTGTGTGTGTGTGTGTGTGTGTGTGTGTGGTTAGAATTAACTAGAGCGGGGTGCGTTGACTGTGTGTGTGTGTGTGTGTGGTTAGATTTAACTAGAGCGGGGTGCGTTGACTGTGTGTGTGTGTGGTTAGATTTAACTAGAGTGGGGTGCGTTGAGCCTTCCGCAAGCCCTGGCCTGATAAAACCTGTGCAGAGATGCACAGTGTCTTTCTCAGTGTCTTCCTTTGACCGCAGGCCTCAAACGGAACCCAGAGACAGAACTCTCCCAGCCCCAGGGAGTCTTAGGAAATAAACAGTGCTTTTCTGATAAAGATATAAGTAAGCATGTCTTGGGAACGAATGGAAAGGGCAACAACCCTGGAGCAAAATAAAGGGGGGGGGTGCGGGGAGGGTGAGGGCATTGAGATTCTGTAAAAGTATTTAACTAAAGCAGAGCTTGCATGCCTCAGTTGAGGCTGCCAAGCCCAGAGGTTTCTACTGTTTACCTATAATTGTACCCTATTCTCCAGGCAACTAGCAGCGTCCCCTCCTCCAGCCTCAAAACTGTAATACTCCACAGACCTGCTGGAGGGATCTTTTAAATGTTTTGTTTGTTGGTTGGCTTTAGGTTTTTGGTTTTTGGTTTTTTGCAGAGAGAAAGAGCAAGTGCAAACATGGGAGGGGCAGAGGCAGAGGGAGAGAGAATCCCAAGCAGGCTCCGTGCTGTCACTGTAGAACCAGACAAGGGGCTCTATCTCACAACCATGTGATCATGACCTTAGCTGAAATCAAGAGTCAGATGCTTAACCAGAGAGCCACCCAGGTGCCACTGGAGGGATCTTTTAAAAACACAACTGCAACTGTCCCTGCTCCTTGTGTTCAGCTGTACAAACTCTTCCCTAGCTCGGAATGTTCTGGGTCCATTGCCATCTCAACCTTTGCCCCTGCTGTTCAGCTGGGGCTGTCTTCCACTCTTCTCTCTTTGGCTAACTCTCACTGGCCCTTTAAAATCTAGCTTCCTGGGGCACCTGGGTGGCTCAGTCGGTTGATCATCTGACTTTTGATTTTAGCCCAGGTTGTGATCCCAGGCTCATGGGATTGAGCCTCACATGGAGCATGGGGCCTGCTTAAGACTCTCTCTCTCCTTCTGCCCCTCTTCCCTACTCTCATTCTCTCCCTCTCTGTCATAAATAAATAAATAAATAAATAAATAAATAAATAAATTAGCTTCCTGAAGCATTGCCTAATTTTCACCCCAAGAGCTCCCTTGCCCTTGGTTCACACCCTCCAGTGATACATCCTGATCAGAAAGCTTGCTGTCCATTCTTTTTTTTTTTTTAAAGTTTGCCATTTATTTTGAGAGAGAGAGAGAATGAAGGGAGGGGCAGAGAGAGAGGGAAAGGGAAAATCCCAAGGAGGGTCTGCACTGTATGTGCAGAGCTGGACATGGGGCTCGATCCTACAGACTGAGACACCCAGGTCCCCCCCTTGCTAGCCATTCTTTATGGTCCTAGCACCCAGGACTCTGCTGGAACATGCAGTTTGAAATGAAGATTGTAGTTAAGGATGACACAATTGGTATTTTCTAAAGGAACTAGTCAGCTAAGGTGTAATCAAAGGTGAAAGAGAAAACAGGGGGAAATGAGCCTATGGCCTCTCTGCAGTGAGGCTAGCAGATGATAGATGCAAAATCTTTCCTTGCAGAGTACAGAACCTAGGAATAGAGGCAGTGTGTTTTAATAGAAATAGCAAAATATCTGAAAATTCTCTTTTGAACAGCAGACATTGAACTTCTGCTATGTACTTGGTCCTTGGCCAGGTGCTGGGAACACACTGAGGTAAATATAGGAAGGATCCATGAGGGCAGTCTACAGAGAAATAAAAGCCATTGAGGTGTGGGGAAACTTCAATTTCTATGCATTTTTTCAATGCCAACTTCTAAAATTTCATTTTTTATGGTTTTAAATATGTATAATAATCATGTGTATGTAACGTGTAAATTAATAAATATACACAGATTTGTATACTCCGAGTGAATAGGCAGAAAGACATACTCAAAAGTGATTTGCTGGAGTATCGGGCTGGCTCAGTTGGTAGAGCATGGGACTCTTAATCTTGGGATTGTGGGTTTAAGCCCCACTTTAGGTGTAGAGATAACTTAGAAATAAAATCTTTAAAAATAAAAAAGTGATTTGCGGATGAGATTACAGTGAAAACAGTGCAGAGGCCACAAAAATAGACTGTGATCTGTGATAATATTTTGCCAGGACTAACCCAAAAAGTAGAGTGTTGTGGAAACCCTTGTGGGGAAAGAACCGCTGACCCAGCCAAGTGACTCAGGGCAGGATTTGAAGCCTTGACTAAATCAATACCCTGCATATTTCATCACATTTTCATCAACAGTGAAAAAAAAAAATCTACTGTGACCAGGACAAAATTTAGGAGAGAAAATTTCTCCTGACCAGGAATGCACTGCCATAGTATCACTCTTTTAAAAAACAAAATGGATTTCACATTCCCTCAGTAATGCCTATCTTTCGGTCCTTCTCACACATTTTTCCCAAGTATAAAAGCAATGCATGGAAATGTAGTGACCCTGAAAAGCCAAAACTACCTTGAAAAAGATCAAAGTTGGAGGACTCACACGTCCCAATTGCAACACTACAAAGCTATACTAATCAAGGCAGTATAATACTGGCTATAGGGATAAACATGTAGAGTCACGGAATAGAAGGAAGATTCCAGAAAGAAACCCTTACATTTTTGGTCAGTTCATTTTCAGCAAGGATGTTAAGACAATTCAATAGGGAAAGAACAGTCTTTTCAACAAATGGTGCTGGGACTACTACTACATGCCAAAGAATGATATTAGACTCCTTCGTGCCACCGAATAAAATTAACTCAAAATGGATCATAGAGTTACATGTAAGAGTTAAAACTATAAATCTCTTGATTTACATAAAAGTAAATTTTTGGAACCTAAGGTTAGGTGGTGGTTTCTTATATACACAGTCACAAAAGCAGGGGCGCCTGGGTGGCTTAACCGGTTAAGTGTCTGACTCTTAGTTTCGGCTCAGGTCAGGATCTTGTGATTTCATGGGTCTGAGCCCCTCTGCTGCCAGCGCAGAGCCCACATGGGATTCTCTCTCTCCGTCTCTCTCTGCAAATCCCCTGCTCACACTGACTCTGTCTCTCTCTCAAAATAAATAAACTTTTTTTTTACAAATCACAAGAGCACAAGCAATGTGAAAAATGAAAAAATAGATAAATTGGACTTCATCGAAATTAAAAGCTTTTGGTTGCAAATCATACCATCAAGATAGTGAAGACAGCCTCCAAATGGGAAGACATATTTACAAATGATATCTTTGATAAGAAACGTGTATTCAGAAACTATAAGGAGCTTTTACAACCCCATAAAAACACACACAAAACAAATACAATTAGAAATGGGCAAAGCAGATGAATAGACATTTCTCCAAGGAAGACAAACAAATGTCAATAATCTCATGAAACGCTGTTCATGTTTGCCATTAGAGATACGCAAATCAAAACCACAATGAGATACCACTTCACATATTCTAGGGTGACTATAATCCAAACGTAAAACAATAACAAATATTGCCAAAGATGCAAAGAAATTGGAACCCTCATACACTCATGGTACGTAAGATGATACAACCACTTTGGGAAAGTTTGGCACTTCTTCAGAATGTTCAGCAGAGTTACTATATGACCTAACAATTCTACCCTTGGCTATATACCAAGAAATTTGAAAACATCTGTCCACAAAAACTGTACAGGAATGTTCATAGCAGCTTTATTCATAATACCCAGAGAGTGGGAACTGATGAATGGGTTACTAAAGTATAAAATATCCATGCCGTGGAATACGACTGGCAATAAGAAGAAATGAAATACTCAAATGTGCTACAACATGCATGAACCTTGAAAACATTATACCTCATCAAAGAAGCCAAACCCAAAGGGGTCCATATTGTATGCTTCCGTTTATATAAAACATGAGAGGAGGCAAATCTTTAGAGATCGAAAGTAAATTCGTGGTTGGCTGAAACAGGGAGTGGGAATGGGAAGTGACTGCTGATGGGCACAAGGTTTCTTCAGGAACGATGGAACTATTCTAAAATTAGATCGTGGTCTCGGTTGCACAACGCTGAAGATGCCAAAAATTAAAATATAATTGTGTACTTTATTTTTCCTTAAAGATTTTTTTTTTACTTTTAAAGTAACCTTTACACCCAACAAGGGGGTCAAACTCACAACCCAAGAACAAGAGTTGCATGCTCCACTGACTGAGCCAGCCAGGTGCCCCAAAATTGTATACTTTAAAATATACACTAAGTGTTCTAACTGGCTGAACAGGGTGGTCGATGTGTTATATCTCAATAAAGCTGTTCTTTTAAAGAAAGTACTACATTTCTATTTTGGAAAATTGAGAAAACACCCAAAACAGTGTAAAATATAAAGGAAATCACTCCTAATCCCACCAGCCAGCGTTAATCATTGTTAACATGTGAGTATATTTCATTCCAACATTTTATCTATGGATTTGTTTTTTACATTATAGGGCTAATATTGCCTTTGTATTTCACATTCGTCCGTAAACATTTCTCATGCAGTCAAAAAAAATCCTTGTAAACGTATAATAGTTAATATCATATTCAACATTACAGATATACCACAATGTACTTAAGTATC